AATGACCACTAGGGATTTTATATTTGGGAGATCTCTAGGAATGGAAATTCCCCTAAAATATGTAAACTTGCTATTCAACTTGCACACATTCAACTTCTTTATCTGTTTTCAGGTTTACACACACACACACACACACACACACACACACACACACACACACACTAGAGGACAGAATTCTCGTGCTACTCTGGATGCCTTCAGTGACCAAAAACTGTGATTTGTTAAACTGCTTTTGTTATAAAATATTACTGACTTAATGAGTCATATCTCCAAGGAATATGTGATTTGACTAGCTGACTTTTCCAAGTCATCCAATATTTATTGGTCACATCCTGTATGCCAGACATTTGCTGGACTCTGAGTGACACAAAGACAGATAAGACAGGGACCTGACTTGCCACAGACTCTGAAATCAGACCCTGACATCAGTGCCTGTAGTAATGGATACAGTACTTGATTATATATGAAGTGGAGACACCAAGGATCAGAGGGAAGATGTAGCTGTCCTAAAGCAGAGCCAGGGCTCTGAACCTGTCTCCTAACATTCTAGTTCAATGCTCTTTTTGATCATTCATTCTTTTAGAATATGTGACTTTAAAAAGAAGATACCTACAGAGGGAGGCATGGGGCTACCTGAATGCGACAGGTAATTGTTAGGCTGGAAGCCTTGACTAATATCTCAGCCCTGAAGGTGACCACTCATTCTCTCCACTTGTGCAAAAGACCTTAGCATTTGTATCTTCACCTTACAAGTATATAGAGATTTATGTAATAATGCAGGATTGACACAACCTGCAAGATCAGTTTCTACTAACCCTGACCTCCACCCATTTAGACCCTCTTGTAATCCTGCCTTTTCCAGCCACTGCATGATTATCCTTCTGATTTCCTTCTCTTTAAGTTTTGTAAAGCCATCCTGGGCTCTCTCTTCTTTCTGATGTGCTTTCTTCCTCCTCTTTAAAATTGACTTTTTACTTTTCTTTCTGACCCTGTGTAATATTTTCTTTTTGTAGAAGTCAGCCTGAAAGGGAAAAACATGTTTAACTGACTGCTTTGAGATAATAAAATTGAAAGTTTTGTTTTCTATATTCAAGAATAATTTATTATGCGGTTTATTTGTGCATAAAATAAAGAATTGAAAGTAAGTATAATGAAAATGTATATGTAAATGTGGGGTGGTCTTCATAATCATTATAAAAGCATGAGTAAAGACTTGTATAATTTTCTAGTTAGGATTATTGCTATAGAGTATCATAGTTTGAAGAAGGTCAAATCAAATAAGTGTTTTTACAAGAAATGCAAATGTAGTATTGGGGGGCTTGTTAAACTTCATGACGGCAATTGAATTAAAATGCAAATCTCCACCTACACTGAATTAGCCTTTATTATATACAGCAGGCTCCCTATGAGTGCTACCTTACATGGAAAAATGTAGAAAAACCTTCTGCTTGCTTTTTTTCTGTAGAAGTATATGAAGGCACTTACAGGCCTTCCAACCTAAGAAACATGCTCTTTTGGTAAGATAAACAAGCATTCAGAAATTTCTCACAAATAATTCTAGAGGAACTTAAAAATATTATTAGTAAACAACAGGATATATATGTTAAGTGTCATAGCTTGCTCACCTTCCCATCAAAGCGTTTTATTATATATTGATCCAGACCCAAGTCTGTAAAAGAGGAAAAAACAATATTTAATCAATGATTATAACTCAAGTAAAACATATGAAATGACAGCTGTCTGTCATTTCCAGTCATTCAATTATATATACTAGATGGCTTAGCCACATTATTCAAAGGCTATGGGAATAAAGAAATTTTTCCACTTTCAGACTCAAAGTTTAAGTGCTAAAAGATCCAACCTTTATTTTACACATGAGAAAGTAAGGCTCTGAGAAGATAGAGTATAAAAGTTCATGTGCAAACCTGTTCATCAGTAGAGCCAAACTAGAACCCTAGACTCTTTCAAGGGTGGGCTGTTTTCATTACATCAATGTACTATATTACCTTTAAATCAGGTGAAGGATATCAGTTTAATCTGAATGCATACATTTTTTGTATCAAGTTAAAGAGAGAATAGTATAACAAACTAAATTTTGCAACATGCCTAACGAGATACAAATAGAGCATCTTAATATTACCTTAAAAAAAAAGTTTATTTATTTATTTTGAGAGGGGGAGAGAGCGAGGGAGGGGTAGAGAGAGAGGGGGGAGAAAAAGAATTCCAAGCAGGCTCTGCACTGTCAGTGCAGAGCCCATCTTGGGGCTCAATCTCACAAACTGTGAGATCATGACTTGAGGTGGAATCAAGAGGTGGATGCTTAACCGACTGAGCCACCCAGGTGCCCCTAACATTACCTCTTATCTATCTATCTACCTATTTATTTATTTTTAAAGTTTTATTTTTTTTAAAGTTTATTTATTTTGAGAGAGAGTGTGGGAGGGGCAGAGAGAGAGAAGAGACAGAATCCCAAGCAGGCTCCACACTGTCAGCTCAGAACCTGATGCGGGGCTCAAACCCACGAACCACAAGATTGTGACCTGAGCCAAAGCTGGAAGCCCAAGTGACTGAGTCACCCAGGCATCCCCCAGGCATCCCCCTGAGCCATCCTATTCATTTAATTTGAGAGAGAAAGACGGTGCAGTGGAGGGACAGAGAGGGAAGAGAGAATCCCGAGCAGGCTCCGTGCTTTCAGTGCAGAGCCCAAGGTGGGGCTAGATCTCACAAACCGTGAAATCATGACCCGAACCAAAATCAAGAGTTGGACACTTAATCAACTGAGCTACCCAGGCATCCCCCTAATATTACCTTTTATTCATTCATTCATTCATTTATTTTTTTTCAACACTCATTCACTTTTGAGAGACAGAGCGAGACAGAGCACAAGCAGGGAAGGGGCAGAGAGAGAGGGAGACACAGAATCTAAAGCAGGCCCAGGCTCCGAGCTGTCAGCACAGGAGGCCTGAGGGAGCTCTAGAACTCACTGAGACAGTGAGATCATGATGATGGGAGACCCAACTGACTAGACCACCCACAAGGTGCCCTCTATCAATACCTTTTAAGTTGGGTTGAGAAGTGGGAAGCCTGCATGGGTGGCTCAGTGGGAATTGTTTATCCCTTTTAAACTCAGAGCCTGTATCTGATCTCGAAGCCCCGGCGTGGGAGCCATCAGCTGTATCATCTGTCCTCCCTCTCCCTCCCACTCTCACTTTGTCTCACTCTGTCTCTAAATAAAAAAAAAATTAAAAAAAAATAAAGTTGGGTTAAGTAACAAATATTTTCTTTGGAAAAGCTGAACAATATCAATTCCTAAAGCACTTAATGAAAAGATATAAGTAATTAGCAAATAAACAACCAGAATAGGATTATTTGTCGCCCACTTTTTGCTTTATCCCGGTGCTTACGGCATAGTGTGATCAATAAACACTATAAAAAAAGAGAATAATGGGGGGGGGGGGGGCTATTGGCTCAGTTAGTTCTTATCTGACTCTTGATGTCAGCTCAGGAACATGATCTGTTTAAGTGAGTTCAAGCCCCATCGGGTTCATCACTGAGAGTCAGAGCCTGCACTGCCCAGTTCTTTTCTCCTTTCCCTCTCTCTCTGCCACTCCCAGTTGTTAGCTCTTTTCTTTTTGTCTTAAAAATTAATGGTAGGGATATCTCTCCTGCCTTGAAGAGTCACAATTTAGTAGATCAGGAAGGCATATGCATATAATAATTAACATTACAGGGAGCATATAGCTAGTTGGAGATGGGGTGCTGTCCGGGGTGTTTGCAGTGGAGAAATCAGTTAATAAGTACACTTGTTTTTTCATGCATAATTACTCAGTTCTTTCTTTCATATATTCATGCAGTTCAGGGTCTTATCTCTACATCCACAGTATTACAATGATCAGATTGTCACTGCTCCCCAGAGGAAGCTTTTGCATTTCTACAACCCTATATGCTTTTGGTTCCCACATTTTCTTTATCTTAAATGCGCTACCTTCCTAGAAGCTTGACTCCTGAAAAAAAAAAAAAATAAACCACCCATTCAAAACAAAGAGGAGTAAGTCAACAGCAGAAGAAATTTTTTTAAAAAGAAAATCTATTTGAAACTTTACAGAATGCTGGGAAGCCTGGGTGTGTGGTCAGGTTCGTCTGACTTCAGCCAGATCACAATCTCACAGTGAGTTTGAGCAGCGTCAGGGCTCTGGGCTGATGACTTTCCAGAGCCTGAGCCTGTTTCGATTCTGTGTCTCCCTACTCTCTCTCTCCTCGCCCGTTCATGCTCTCATCTGTCTCTGTCCCCAAAATAAATAAGTGAAAAATAAATAAAATAAAAAAATAAAACCAGGAGAAGATTTAAAAAAAAAACTTTACAGATACTCAGAAGATAACACAGTCATAAAAGTAGAAAGTACACTTGGGGAATTTGCCTGGTTGAGGCATCCCTTAGGCTCGAGTCATGATCGCCGCCCGATCTGGCGGTTCAGGCCCCCACTTTGCGATCAAACTCTCTTTGGCGTGACAGCTCAGAAACTAGAGCCTACTTCAATTCTGTCTCCCCTATATCCCTCCCCTCATTCTACTCTCTCTCTCAAAAATAAAATAAAAAAAACGAAAAATTTTTTAAAAAGTAGAATGCACTTCTATGAGTAAAGAACGAAGAGAGAACAAGAAATAGTTATAGTAGTTAACACTATGTTTGCCTGAATATATCCTATATTTTTAATAAACTGTTACTCAAAGATCAGGATAAAGGTTTCTCTCCCAGGACCACTGCCAAAAGAAAAACAGAGACTCAATACTGAAGTCTAATATCATACCAAGACCTTTCTCATTCCAGAAATGGGGAGGGAATTCTTTTTTTCTGTTCTTTTTCAATATATATGAAATTTATTGTCCAGATTGGTTTCCAACCACAGCACCCAATGCTCATCCCAAAAAGGTGCCCTCCTCAATACCATCACCCACCCCATCAACCCTCAGTTTGTTCTCAGTGCAGAGTCTCTTGGGGTGCCTGGGTGTGTGATCGATTAAGCGTCGACTTTGGCTCAGGTCTGCTGATCTCACAGCTTTCATTGAGAGGTTATAGAGCCCAGCGTGTGGCCAGGCTCTGTGCTGACAACTCAGAGCCCCCACCAGAAGCCTGCTCTTCTCTGTCTCTAATGTCTCCCTCTCTCTTCTGCCCCTTCCTGCTCATGCTGTGTCTCTCTCTGTCTCCAAAAAAAAATAAACATTTAAAAAAAAAATTAAAAAAAAAAAAAAAGAGTCTCTTATGCTTTGGCTTTCTCCCTCTCTAACCTCTTTTTCTTCCCCTCCCAGGTTTCTGTTAAGTTTCCTCAGGATCCACATAGAGTAAAACATATGGTATTGTCTTTCTCAATGACTTGACTTCTGGCATAACACTCTCCAGTTCCATCCACGTTGCTACAAAAGGCCATGTTTAATTCTTTCTCATTGCCATGTAGTATTCCATTGTGTATATAAACCACAATTTCTTTATCCATTCGTTAGTTGATGGACATTTAGGCTCTTTCCATAATTTGGCTATTGTTGAGAGTGCTGCCAGAAATAGGGAGGAATTAAAAAAAAAAGAAAAAAAAAGAAATAGGAAATAATTCAAAAAGCATTAGCAGAAAATTTCTCAGAGCTGAAGAGTGACACAAACTAGGGCTTACCAAGTGTTCTAAGCAAAATGAACAAAAACTACCTACAATTCAGTGTATGCTTTTGAAATTTCAGAATACCGAGAATAGGAAAATCCTAAGATTTTCCAGAAAAAACCTTCTTGGTCCTTTATAAAAGAATAAGAATCAGATTAGAATCAGGTAACTCATGAGTAAACTTGCTACATCAACTAAGGGAAACATATGCTTACTAATAATTAGAGCAGCACTGTCCAACAGAAATACAATGTGAGCAACAAATGTGAGCCACATGCATAACTTAATCTAACAGTCACCTTTAAAATAATAAAAAGAAACAGGTCAAATTAATTTTAATAATTTACTTTGTTAAACAAAATATATTTGATAGCATCATTTCAACATGTAATCAATATAAAAATTATGAAGTATTTTTCTTTTTTATACTGTTTTTAAAATCTCATGCATATTTTATAATTTTAACATATCTCGATTCAAACTAGCCACATTTCAAATTATTATAGTAATAGTATAGTAAATTATTATAGTAATTACTATAGTAATATAGTAATTCAAAGTATTATAGTAATAGTATAGTAATACAGTATTACATATTTAGTGTACTAAAAGAACTAAAAAGTTAACTTAAAATTTAAAAAGTGATTGCATATGTGACATGGACTGGGAGGGTGGAGAAAATGGAACAGATTTGTGTTTTCACTGAATGCTCTGTTATAGTTTGGAAAATGTTTTCCCATGTGCATTTGCAAAAAAAGGAGGTGTGTGTAAGGACAGCCTGGCACATACTGAGAATTCCTGTCATTTATAAGCAAATACAGACATAAAGTAGGCCAAAAGACTAATACATTTAAGATGAAAAAAACATTAAGATGATTATTTTGTCTGTTATATTTAGATTTCTTTACCTATCAAATGAAGCAGATGGACAGATTAGATCAGTTCTTAAATGGCTGGGGTAGAGTATGGGAAATGCGGATGGATGAGAATTCAAGCTATTCTTCCTAGTACTCTAGAGATT